AAAAAAAAAAAAAAAAAAAAAAAAAAAAAAAAAAAAAAAAAAAAAAAAAAAAAAAAAAAAAAAAAAGAAAAAAAAAAGAAAAAAAAGAAAAAAAATTAACAATCTATATTTATATATATATATGTATATGTAAGATGAAAAAAGAAATTAAAAGAATGAGGTGGTTGAGGTGTCAAAAAGGGAATCGATTTGGACACCCGAAAAGTTTCCGGCAAAAAAGGCAGTGTCGTATTCATCAATCAAATAATCAGGAATACTTGCCGGGAGCTGTGAAGTCGAAATAGAAATTTGGGAAACCTGTTGAATCGAGGACGCTGTAGTAATGTTCCCATGAAACGAGTCGGAAAAATTCGTGTCTATCGAAGTACTAGTAGATTGCCAATAGTTTTCAAAGTTACGATTTACTTCGGTAGAAACGGAGCTGTTAAGCATTGTCATATTCGCATTTGGGTTAATGCAAATGTCTGTGTCGGATTTGACACGTTGGGCCGAATTGTCGGCAAGACCTTCAATAGCGTTAGTGTTATATTCAGTGTTAAATTTGTTAGATTCAATTTCTTTTTTGTAAACAGCTGGTGAACTATCGAGAACAGATTGTGCGAGTTGAATAAGATGCTGAAAGGTTTCATAATCTGCGTTTCTAAAATCGTACCCTCCAAGAATAAAAAGATCATCACCGTCCGGTGTGCTACCAACGGTAAGATCATTGGTGTAATCAACATGCGGAAAAGGTTGGGATGTGGAAGAAAATAAAAATCCCATGTCGCAAGGTGAAGGACTAACAAAACTATCAACAGGGGAAGTAGGCGAATTAATGAATACTGGAGATGAACAACCCGGTGAAATTGAGGAAGTCGTGGATGATAATGGTGATGATAACGGTGAAGAATCGTAATGAGGTGATGTCTTAATAGGAGGTTCAATCTGTCGCACTGCTACATCAGATGTGACAGTGTAATTGGCAACAGGGATATCTCCCAAGGCTTGGGCATCACTCGCTTGTTTAACGCTATCATGGAAGATCCAATCTTTGTTGGTTTCCTTTGGAACCTTTTTCTTAGGTGTATACTTGTAACCAGGATATAACGCTTTATGTTGTTCGTGAGCAAGTCTAGAAAGAATTTCAAAGAATCGTTTGACCTTGGACGGTTGATTTCTCCAAACGTCACCTGCATCGGTAGAGACATTCTTCATTTTTAATGCCTTGTCGGGAAAACGCATACGTTGATTAGCTTCGTAATCTTTTCTAAAGAGAACCCAAGCATTTTGGGGTCTAGGGATTTTGTTTTCTGGTTTAGATTTATTTTTACGATTCTTTCTAGCTGGAGAAAGAAGTTCATTAAGGCTAAGCGTAAGTTGATAAGGCGGATTTTGAAGTAACGCATGTTCTTCTTCATTAAGACGTTGCTTTTGGAATAGCAACGCACCGCCAGGATGAGCGAGAGACATCGAGTCAGATTTGGTAGGAGATACTAAAGCGATCGGGGGTGCTGGTTGAAGAGGAGGGTAATTGATGACGGTGGGGGTAGTGGTATTGTTAAGATTGGTAACGATGCTTGCGGGCTTCTTGTCAGACTTAACTTTCGGCATTTTGATAGTTCGTACGAAATAAAGAATTGATTTTATATTATAAGCGTGTGTTATGTGCAGAAAGTAATAAGAAATAATTAATAATGCAAGATTAGAAGTAAATGTTCGAGGCAAGGAATCACAGAGTTCCTTACCCAAGAATCCGTGTACTTATATAACGCTTTCAATTCATCATCAAAAGGTTCTTAATTTCTCGTATAATCGTCTATCCCAATTTGAGAGAAAAAAAACCGGTCCTAAGGTAATCAAATGCAGAGATCCTAACTAGTACTACTGTAATCGTATGCAAATTATTTTGACCGAAAAAGAATTAGTGGACAATTTGAGTCTCGTTTTTATTATAAAAAAGAGTATTTTATTTATGTTATGCAATGCAAGGAGAACGACGACGAGTTAAGAACTATCTTAAATTTTGGTAATAATAATTAATGATTATTAGAGGAATAATGAGCGAAGAAACGAAACCAGGAGTGCAAGTGTTGTGAGTTTTGTGAGATCGAAAACATGATAAGAATGAAAATTCAATGCATTGGTTCAATGACTAATGATCCATGATTTTTTTTTTCCGAAGTCTTATTCTATGCTTTATTTTAATGTTGATTAATGTTGATTTGTGACTTTGAATTAAACGAAATTTTGGGAATAGGGTCGGTGTCATTAGTAGATTATTTATTGCCAGCATATCGCATATTCTCACGAATTAATACATA